TTGACCAAATTTAAGGGGTAATTTAAGGAATACATGTTTCGTAGTACCCATAACGGCTTTCGACGCCCTCAAAAAATATACCCTCCATTATTTATTAAAAACCAAAATTAGGTTTTTGATAAAAAAAGATTTACTTTTTTAAATAACTTCCTAAAGTTTTATTTTTATTTTTAAATAATATTATTTGGGATATATACAAAGGTATGAAATAATAATATAACAGGGTTATAAGCTAACATTCTTTTTTGTGAAAGCAAGGAAAATTGTGTGTGCTAATATATTATTAATAATAGTGCATTCAGTTAAATATTATTTCATAAATTTTAAACTATAATACAATTTGAAAAATAAACGTTAAGTATTACAATTATTGTATATAACTGTTTGCCCTATTTACAAGCTACAATATTATAATTATTGAACCAATGAATTAAAAGTTACTTGTACTATTGTTTACCAATTTTGACCTTTGTTTGTGAATCAGAAAATTTGATTGCCTTTGCTTCATAGTAGAATCCAATGTACAATGTCTCATTGTAGACCAATCAGGCGATTTATTTTTTAAACTATTACAGGTCATTTATAGATATATACAGGGTGTTATGTAATTAATGTTATATATTAAAATACTAAATACCTTTTGACATAAGGAGTAAAGGAAAAATATTTAAAAAAATATTAAATTGGTTTATCTCTGCACACTTGTGTTCTGTGAGTACATAGATACCAACCAACAAAGTAACTGCGCGTTGCCAGATGTAAAATATTCTTACAAAAAATTTTTCTTGCAAAAAATAAATAAAAACTCAATAAATACAAAAGTTTTATGCCCTTAAAGATCTAATACCCTTTTGTATTTATTTACTCATCCAGCTATTAGCTTAGGCAATGATTAGAAAATTTAGTACCTATTTTAAAAAATCCATAACCACAAAATTAATTTTTTCATCTGTTCACAGGTTAAACTTTAAACATTTAATTTGTGTAAATAAATCCAAAAGCACTTTCCTTAGTTAAGATATTTACAATTTGAGCACATAACCTAAAATTTGAAAGAAATGCACTAGATTCTGTCATAAAAGTTGACAAATTTTGTTTGAATTTACCTTCAGTACAAAAAAGATATAACCAACAATTAATAAAAACGCCAAATTGACAATTTGCATTGTTAATTTTTTCATTTTTGTAATTAAGCTAAATTTAAACAATGTTTGGCAACTTTTTTGACAGAATTTGGAAACGCTGTTGTCACCAACCATAACATAATAAATTAAATTAGGCAACCAGATTAGCCTAAAGTTTCTAGTCGATCAGTGGCGTACTTTTTGGTAGGTAGGATAAAGGTTATTATAAATTATTTTTAGTCCTTGGAATTTAGAAAAAAAAGTTTCAGGTGCTTGTTTATGGACCCTAAGAAACAACCCATTTTAATATATTACATTAATTACATAACACCCTGTAGATATAATAAATTTTTTCTAAGCGTATATATAACAATTTTTATATTATAACACTTATAAGTCTATATAGAAAGACTTCATATTTGTACGCAGTTGAAAGGTCAAATTATTAAACACCGGCGCATATTATGTAAAACGTCAAACCTGACAAAATGTCTTAAACTCGATAATTTCAATATAAGTAAGTACAGAATAATACATAGTTTATACAACACGGCGGAGAAAGCATATTAAATGCCTGCTCAGAATTGCAACCTCGACTAAGGCCTCGGCACTGAGCTCGGCTTTAAATAGGTGATTTCTCCCCCTATTAGATAATGTACTATTATACCCTGGAATAAATCCTATAAATGCCTTAAAAATTAAGTCCATGCGTTAAATAATAAATCGCCATATTGGTATTGCAATTTTTAAGGATTTTAAAAATGTTTAATTGTACAATTTAGAATTTATTTGGTTTTGTTAACATTTTCGTTTTGAAAGAATCAATAAAGAAGAATGATTTCTGAGCTATATGCAATACAAAATAGATAACACGAAACTTTCATTAAAAAATTCCAACTAATGAAATAATAATATAATTGTAAAAATTCATTAACCTTTTCTTTCATAAATGTTTAATTGTAATTTTATCTTTATTGTTTCGTTTTTTTAAGAAAACTTTTTTAATGTATAATAATCTTGACCATAAAAGTACTTTTAAAGCATGAGTTCAATACATTGTTTTATCAACTAAAACGTCTTTACCACGGTTACCTCAATGAAATAATTGTTGAAACTGCGTGGTACATTTGGTTTTTTCTGTTTAAAAATAAATTATTAAACTTATGTTTTTATAATATTATCCAGTCTGGTATAAAAAGCAAGTTTACATGTATTAAAAATTGTATGTATACACATAAATTTCATTCAAAAGTCCTAAATATAGCTTAAGAAATGTAAATCGAAATTTTTCTTTTTAACTTTAAATATCCCCTTGTTCTATATTTCGAAAAACCTCCTCATTTGGTCTCCGGAGTAGTGTCCAAGCCCGTCTTAAAATCTACAAATTCGAAAGGAAAGAACTATAGACTTATTTCCTATATAAGTAGTCACTCTTAAAGTAACTGTTTCGTGTTAACATGTTATAGTTTTCATTTATAGAATTAAGTATTGTTGAGCAATTTTAAAATAATATAGATTTTTATATAAAAAAATTGGGATCGGCAGAGGTTGTCAGGCAAAAATAATAGACAAAAATAGGAAAAAACGTCTGTCGAAAAAGAATTAAAAGATTGGAAGAATTGAAGATAAATTGGAAGAATTAAAGATAAATTGGAAGAATTTAAATATTGTGAAAAAGGCTTAAATTGATTTGGTAAGTCTGACAATCCCACGTTATTATTTTTAAATAAAAAAGAGACAAGTAATGCAATTATTCAAAGGAATCAGCGGAAAAGATATAGGGGAGTTTTGGGAAAAGTTTCCTAAGGGGGCAAAGTGGATTACTTTTAAATTTACTATATGCTAGCAACATCTATGCATGCTTGTAGGTTCAGTAATTTATCTTTAAGTGCACAACTAAGTAGTAGGCTTTCAACTGCCATCAGATGCACGCGTGTTTTTTAACGGACAGTGATAAGTTTCGAACCACGCCCTTCTAATATTCAAAGGTAAGTAAACTTTTTTTCAGTATAACACCTTATTTAAATAATATTTTATATATAATTAACATGTCTGTACAAGCAAAGGAATTAAAAACAAAGGTGAATTTTTATTTACTTGAAATGCCTTGATATGAATGTTGGGACAAAGTTGTTTTTTTTCGGTGGGGCAAAGTGGTCAGCATAGCCACTTTGCCACTTTAGTGGAAAAAATAATGTTTTTAATTTTAAAATTTCCAGTATTTCACCTGTCGCGAATATAAAAGCTTTTATAAAGTGTAAAGTTAATTATATTTTTAAATAAACTATGATTATGATTATTTTTAGAAAATTGGCATAATGGTACGTAACTATAAACGGAAAAGCCATCAGCACACTTGGTCGGAGAAAAGTATGGCAGCAGCCATCAACAAAAAAGTCAGCACCACAATACCAAGTTCCTTTAACAACTCTTCGAAGACAGATAAGAACTAACAAAGAACCTAAAGCAGCATCGAAAAAGTTGATGGGACGATTTAGACCTGTTTTTTCCGCAGAACAAGAGAAGAAACTGGCCAATTTCATTTTAGAAATGAAAAGTATGCTTTTTGGCCTTGGCACAAATGAATTGAGGCACCTTGCCAATTTGTAGAAAAAAACAATATTAAACACACCTTTAACGTAGTTAAAGGTCTTGCAGGACATGATTGGAACTACGTGTTTCTAAACAGAAACAAAAATATTTCTTTGAGGCTACCAGAATACACATCAGCAGCTAGAGCTTCTTCATTTAATAAATACAACGTTAATTAATTTTTTAATCTTTTGGAAGAAATGCTGAAAAAATACAAATTTCCACCCAGTAGAATTTTCAATTGCGATGAAACAGGTGTTTCTTCGGTACCAAATAGGTCCTCAAGAATATTCTCCATAAAAGGAAAAAACAAGTGGGCAGTCTTTCTTCCGCTGAAAGAGGCACTTTAACAACAGCCGAAATTTGTTTCAATGCTACTGGATTTTACATTCCGCCTCTGCTGATATTTCCGAGAGTAAGAAAATGCCCAGCGCTTGAGCAAGGACTTTCCCCGGAATCAATCGTCGAATATCATCCATCTGGGTGTATGCAGAGTGAAATATTTTCAGAGGCACTTCTTAAAATATTCAAAGCATACCGAGACTGATCCAGTGTTATTGGTTTTTGACGGTCATGCTACACACACAAAAAATCTAAAGCTGGTCGATAAACAAGGACAAATCATGTGCATATTATAGTAATACCGCCACCATCTCACCGTTTACAACCCCTAGATGTATCGTTCATGTTTCCTCTTAATTCATACTACCAACAAGAGACAAAAAATGGCTTTTAAGTAACCCTGGACATGTAATAACTTTGTATCAAGTTGGGGAACTTTATGGAAACGCCTTTAAACGCGCAGCAACAACACAAAATGCAATTAACGGATTTAAATCTACTGAAATATGCCCTTATAACCCGGATGAATTTCCAGAAGATTTATTTAAACCGGCAGAGGTCACCAACAGGGCACTAAATGCAGAACGTCCAGTAACTCCTCAGCACCAAGATCAACCCAATAATCTTGAAACTAGATCCTCTCCACAACCAGGTCCTTCTAGCGCTAGAACTCCGTCTCCTGTGAATCACAGAGAGCTAGCGAGAGATCAACAGCTTACATAAACTATTTTACATAAAATCAATATTGAAAACTTCTATTACTCACTAAGAGATATATTAGCCCTACTAATAGCAGGCGAAGCAAGTGCTCCAAAACGAAAAATAAAGAGAGGAAAAACCATGGTGCTCACATCAACCCCTAATTATGAAGAACCTAAAACTACGGCATTTAAATCTGACATACCTAAAAGAAAGAAAAAAAGTTAAGAAAGATTTATTCAGAGATAAAAAAATATTAATTGAGAAAAAAATAAACATAGAAGAATTAACATCATCGGACAGTTCCGCTGAAATGGAGTTAGAAGATTATTCAAATGATTCGGATAATAGCGATCTAGAATATTATCCTAAGCCAAAGAAATTGAATGTTAAAGAAGTTGACATTAAAACCCTTAAAACTGATGATTTTATACTAACAGAATTAGCAACAGTTACTGACAAGTTGAAAAAAAAACGGTTTGTTGCTCAAATAACAAACATTGAAACGACCCCAGAAACTAAAATTAATGTATAATTTTTGCGAAAATATCGGCAATCAAAGGACATTTATGTTTTTCCTGATGTTAAGGATCTCAGTGAAGTTCTAAAAGAAGAGGTTTTGGGAAAAATTAGAGTCCAGCCTTTAAGACATGGCAAAATAAAGGTATTTTAATGTAGAAAGTTTTAAGAAATGTTTAGTTCCTGTAGATTTTAATATGGACAGAAAAATTCCTATGTTTTTTTTCTCTTTAGAAACTAGTTTTTGACAGTATTTTTTTGCATGTTTGCTAATTTTACTTTAGTTTCGTTAACGTAGTCCTTCGGAGGGGACTTTAAGTCCGCGGTCCGTTCCTACCCCTAACCCGCACAAGCCATTCAGTTGGCTTATGGGACTTCTTAAGAAGTAAGGGTGGAACTAAAAGAACACTTTTTTGTATATAACCTTAAAAATATTTAGTATTCTTTTAAATAAATATGCTGTTTGAAATATAAGTTCTTTTTTTTACATGATGTTCACGTTGCTCCTTTATAGGAATCCACTTTGCCCCATGTATGGGGCTAAACTTTGAGAAATAATACTTAATAGTACCAAAACAAGTAACTAAATATTGGTTAACAAAATTGTTATCGAAACTGTTTACAACGAAAATTGCAGGTGAAATACGAGATATTAAAACGAAACTGGTAACACTAACTGAGTAACGAAACTGTAACCAAACGCTGAATTATAAAAAACTTTTACAAAATGCACATCAAAACAAAGTCTTGGTAAAAATATTGTACAATATGTATTAAATTAATAGTACCTATATTGTTCGACTTCTGGGAGAAAAAGAAGATTCCTCCTGACATATAGTTATATGTAAAACTCATTTTCAACGTCAATATTTTCCAATTTTAACCTAAATCTAACTTCATGCAATTCCGCCCACTAGTGGCGCGAGTGAGTCACGCCTGTAAAACTCTCGAGAAAAACGCGCAGGTAGGTTGCACGGGTAAGTCGCGCGAGTAAGGCACGCAGGTAAATCAGGTTAGAAAGCCGCAGGTATTTCGCGCGTATATAACTCGCGAGTAAGACGCACAGGTAAATCAAGTAGCGCGGGTATATCGCGAAATTGGGACGCGTGGAAAAATGGTGCGAGTAACTCACGCAATTAGGTATACCTGATGACCATGTGGCGCAGGAAAGAATATATATTTCCTGAATAAAACATTGTTTACGATTTTGGCGTGTTACTAACTTCACGTTCGAGGAATCTCCTCTTTCTCCCACGAGTCGCACAATACTCGCACAATATTTACAAAATTATAAAGGTATTTAATAAGTACGCTGCTTCATTTATTCATCAACAGAAAACGTTATCAGATACTTAATGGTTTTCTTCGATACACGAGAAACGTTACTAGTTTAGTTTCTATACCAAGAGGCTTTGTTACGGTTTCGTTACTCAGGTGGCGTTGCTGGTTCGTTTCGGTTCTGCTTTGTAACCTTAAGTGTCGTTACTCTTCTGTTACTCGAAACGATAACGCCAGTTAAGTTTCACTTATATACGCGGTTTTGTTACAAGTTCCTGCTAGTAACAGCTACCTTAAATTTATCACGCGTCGGGGACGTGGGGCCCTTTAAGGACAATTTATGAGGGCCCACCGGGAAACTCCCGGTCGCCCGGTGGGCCAGCACGCGCCTGTCTTGTACTAAATTGTATCGTTGCTAGTTGCTCGCATTAATGGCACTCTATTCCCCTTTAACTGTCGCCAGACTAACCGCTCTCTCTTGAAAGCATAGTTTTTTATTGTTGTATAGCAAATTAGCTTTTTAAAAATTGACTCGTAATTTTCTGATTTGTTTTAATTTTCTGTTCTCTCGATCTTAATTGAATAATTGTTAAAGTCATACTCGAGTTATAGCACCCATAGTTAAACAACTTAGGATTATACGCTTGTCATATTTTAATGAGTTAAAGGAATTGTTTAAGTTAGGGAAAAATTCCTTTAATGATACGACTTTGTAAATGCGATTTAAGATTCGTTATCAGTATTTGCAAGGAATATATGCTAAATTTGAAAAAAAACTCACGATTTGCTCCGTTTAGATGTTGCTGCTGAAGAGGAGGTTTTAAATGCACATCTTGATTTTAGATCAGAATTTTTAGAAACATACTTTCGGATTAAAGAATTTTACGTCGTAATATTCGGAGATACTGAAGATCTTGCTACGAAAATGTGCATAAAAAATTAATCTTCACCCGATCGTAATAATAAACTATTAAAAATTGAAGTACCAAAGTTTTCAGGTGACTATAAAAAATGTATTACTTATTTTGATATATTTAATTTATTGGTTCAAACAAAAGCATCTTTCAAATATCGAAAAATTTAATCAATTTATTAATTCATTAAGCGGCCCACCTCTTTCACTCGTTCTCGTACTTCTTTAAACTCAGAAAACTATGACATTGCTTATCAGACATTTAAAAAACGATTCCTCAATAAAAAGTTAATTGCAACGCATATTTCGAAGACATTTATAATGCTCCCCGCATAACAGAAGGTAACTCTAATTCTCAACACCTTAGAAAATTAATAAAATTAATAAAAAGAATGGGATTTTATAATTGTTTTTTTATTAATTATTATTAGATATTAGCACTGTTACTCGATTTGAACTAGAAGGCTGTATTGATAATTAGACTGATCCAAGTTTTGAATCTTTAGAGAATTTTATAATTAAGCAATGCACTGCTTTAGATGCTGTTGCCAGTAACACTAAACAACAAAAAAGATTGATAACTTTCAGCCTTATAAACCCAAGCAAGCTTCATATTTTGTTGTAAATACCCAACAAAATGTTTGCTCGCTTTGTAATCTCTCAAATCACTCAATTTATACTGGTTCTAAGTTTCTCGCTCAATCTCCTAAAGAACGTTATTATGTTGTTAAACACAAAAGTGGTGTCTTAATTGTCTAGGTAATAAACATTATGCTCGTGATTGTACCTTATCCTCTCTTTGTAAACATTGTCGTAAAAGACATCACCCTCTTTTGCATTTCGAATCTCATATTTCGTCTCCAGATTCATGTTTGTTGAATCCTCACTCTTCCTCTAGTAATATAAATAATAGTAATAATAATATTAAGGCTCTGTCAGGCTCCTCAACCACTGCTCAAACTTTGACCAATTATTTACCAAATATGTTGTCGATTAAATCTACGAACATTTCCAATATCGTTTCGAATTGTTTAAGGGGAGTTTCCTGCAAAATATTTGCAGGCGATAATAACTCTCTATTATCCGAAAATCTGTGGGCCAATGCCTACCTCTCAATTGAAACTAAGTTTGATCAACCAGGTGATATCGACATGTTAATAGGTGCAGATACTTTTCCATTGATTTTAGGGTCTAAACGCATTGCTGAAAAAGAAAATGAGCCTACGGCCTTTAACACAATGTTTGGTTAAATTCTCATGGGAAAAGTAACTAATTCGTGTACGACAAATATTAACACATTTTTCTCCTCTTTCGAATCGACAATTAATAAAACTCTTAATAGATTTTGGGAACTTGAAGAAGTTCCATTGAAGCATACTCTCTCTCCCGATGATGCTTTTTGTAAAAAGATTTTCAAATGTACTCATTTTCGAAATGAAACTGGTCGCTTTGTTGTTTCTCTCCCCTTTAAAGATTTAGAACCTACTTTTACTAATTCTCGTCCTTCAAAAACGTTTTTTGTCGTTAGAATGTCGTCTAAGAGCACGTAACATACCAAAACTCTTATCACAGATCAAATTATTGTTAATCTTATAAGGCATCGTACATAAATGATGATGGGGGAGGAGGTTAACAATTTTTTGACACTCTGTGACCAAGTCACATGACATCGTTTATTGACAATACAAAGCAAAAGTTACTGGGTAACCAGAATCTAGTACGTGAATAAATATTGTATAAAAAATACACATAAAAACAAAACAAAAGCATTCTATAAAACAACTTATCACTAAATAAAATATTATTTATCACATTAAAACATTATTATTATTTTTGCTTCTTAAGACCACTGAAGTTTTCCTCTTGCAAAATGTTCTAGTCATTTTATCTGCGTCTTTTTGCAATTTATTTTTATTTGCTCTTTTGTAAAATGCAGAAGAAAGCATGGCTTGCCCAACTTTATGTTCTACTAAATCTAAAATGTCTCTTCAAGAAAAACGATTATTTTATAAAACCTGATTGATATAGGAAATTTTTTGAAAAATATGAATATAAAAAGAAAAATTACGTTACTAGAAACAGTTAAAATCTGCAAATTTAAAAACAAAATAAATAAGGTCTTTCAATAAAAAAATATTCGACCACGACCATTTTGTCGCCGATCCCCAATTTAAAAGTTTTAGTCCAATTGGCAGTTCTCAAATTGGGGCATACACACTAGGGTGGTGCGAAATCTGAATATTTTTAAAATTAAATACAGTTGTATTCAATAAAAAAGCGTACAAGAATTAGAATGAGAGAAAACTGTCAAACTAATATTATTGCCTAAAACCGGCTTATCACTGACATAAGTCATTAAAATAATTACTATAGGTTATAAAGAACATTGACGTCGTAGGTTAATTAAATAATATTACAAAAATTATTAATTTTTAATATAGATTTTTTATTTCTATTATACCACGGTACGAATTGACCATTCTTCTTCGATTCTTGATACTATTTAAGCCTTTTTAACTGACGAGGCATTTTTATTTTCTACTGTCAGTTATAGTGACTTAAGTCAGTGGAAAGCCGGTTTTACGCAATAATGTTGACAGTTTTCTCTCATTCTAATTCTTGTACGCTTTTTTAATGAATACAACTGTACTTGTGTATGGTAAAAATAAAAAAATTTTGTTTTTTTTTTAATTTTTTTTAATTTCATTCCACCGCCCCAAAGCCATCTTAAATATAAAAATTATAATATTCAGACGGAGGTGAAAAACAGTTGTTATGTTATTTTTAGCATAATTAACTTTTACAAAATAAAGTAATTTGATTTTCAAAAAAAACTAGCTAAATGCCCCCGGTCAATTTTAAAAATATAAATATTTTCATATTTCAGATAAAGCGCGGATCCGCCGATTTGGTTTCTTTTTTTTTGAAATTCAAAGTGTTTAATTTTGGAAAACTGAATAATGTTCAAAATAAACATTTTGGTGACAAAAATATATATATTTTTAAATTCCTTCCAATGCCACAGAACCATTAAGTTTGAGTATGCGCACAACGTTTGAGCGTGCGCAGAATCGTCATGTAAACACCTGACGATCCAGCGCAGTCATAACCTCTATGCGACTTTTAGTTGGCGTATTGTTTTCGAGAAAAAACGTGTTAATTAATCAATATTTTAGTTATTTTACTTTAAAAATGGCAAAAGCATTAGATTCGACCGATAAAACGGTAAAAACCCGTAAAGGTGATGAAAAACAACGACAAATTGCTTTCATTAGACATGTATCGCATCAAATTGTGGGAGCCAAGTTACCGTCAAACAGACAAGTTTCGGAAGTTTTTTCTACAATATTCTAACCTCAAACTAACCTCAAAAGAAAGTGCAAGGTTGACGATTGATGTTGCTTAAATATTTTGGCAACAAGCGCGTATACCAACCCGTGAGTCTCATAAATGTGCCAGCAAGCTTCTGAAAATGTACGAAAATTGGAAAACTTTTAACAAAGTGAAGGTGGAGAAAATGGCAGGGGGAATGAAACAAAAATTTGATCTTTTCATGGACGTGTTAGACGATCTTTTTGACATAGCGGCTGCCGATGCATTGAAGACAATGAGAAACAAAGAGGACAAAGAATTCTTGGAAAAACAGCGTCAGAAAGGACGGCCTGGTTCAATGTCCAAAGAAGAAAGATCGAAATTGCTGAAAGAAAGGGAAGAAGCGCGGAAAATAAGAAATGAGAAAACATCGGAGTTGCAACAATCTGGTAAGTAATTGGATTATTGCTGCTGTGGTTATATATTTTTTTCGACATTAATTTCCCTTCCCATTAAAGTTTGCTACAAAAGTGAAATCGAAAGTGAGTCCATAGGAGTAGATAGTGATGTTTTTCCCGATGAATTTGAAGTATTTCCATCTAAAGAACGGCGTTTTACTACAAAGAAAAAATGGATTACACCACGATTATGTACCGCACGATAAAGCGAAGGTAAAAAGAATAAGATTTAAAAATTAAGATTGTTTCAAAGTCTTATTTCTTATTTGCGTTTAGGTGTCGGACCGACAGGCGATGCATATTTTGATGGCAACAGTAGAGGCTTTGGAGATTCCTGCCGATAATGTAGTCTTGATTCGTACCTCTTTACAGCAGTTGCGTCAAAACAATCGGCACTATCAATTTGGCGAAGCAAAGTCTGAATTCCTCGATAACGTACGTATTACACGTATTATATACCTATATTATTGTATAATGTATATATTAAGTTAGTTTAATTTTGCTTTTTTCTCTATGAAATAGTTAAGTATAAACGATCGTTTGGTGGTTCATTGGGACGGAACAATTTTGGCCGATTTAGTGGGCAGATCCAACGTGGATCGGATAGCAGTTCTCGTAAGCTACAATGGAACTTCTCAGTTTTTGGGCGCTCCCAAAATTGAATGAGGTACCGGCAAAAACATAGCTCAAGCTGTTCATAATACTTTAGTCGAATGGGACATATTTGAAAAAGTTGTGGCTTCGAGCTTTGATACTACTTCCTGAAACACTGGCCTTTAACAAGGTGCTTGCATTCTTCTGGATGACCTTTTCGGTAGAATAGTATCCGCACCAACCAGAAAGTAACTTTTTACTATAAAAGTGACCTAGCGAGAGGCCTGCAAATACATATTATATTCCCAATGAAAGTACAACTACCCCAATTCGCGTTGTATTCGATGCCTCATCAAAATGTGACGAAGGCTACTCACTAAATGATATTTGCTTTCTGGTCCAACACTTCAACAAGTTATTTATTTATATCTTTTAGATTTTCGACTGTAGTATCTATACATTCTGTCATATTTTGCACAGATATAAAGAAAATGTTTTTACAGATTTTAATAGATGAAAAATATAGGGATTATCAGCGTATCTTATGGAGATTTTCGCCCTTTGAACCTTTACAAGATTTACACTGTTACGTTTGGTATCTCGTCGTCTCCTTATCTTGCTATTCGAACTCTTTCACAACTGGCGGAAGAAAATATTTCTAATTTTTCCAGAGCAGGCAAAGTTTTACAGACCTCTACTTACGTCGATGACATTATAGGTGGTTGTGTTTCGTTAGAAGAAGCTCTTTTAACTCGAAATGAATTATTGGAATTGCTTTAATCTGGAGGTTTTGAACTGCGCAAATGGATAAGTAACAATCCGTTGTTAATGAACGGTTTGCCTAAAACACATTTATACTCGCAATCTCTAGCTTATGATTTAGATAATGATGTATCTATCAAGCTTTTAGGATTGCGTTGGTATCAATCAAAAGAAAGAAATATTTTATCAGAACTTGCTCGTATTTTTGACCCACTTGGTTTTTTGACCCCACTTTATTGCCGCCAGCGAGCTCCACATCGCCGGTGAGCCATCGCCGGTGAGCCATCGCCGGTGAGTCATTGCTGGTGAGTCAGCGCTCGAATAGTCGAGAGCTCGCTGGAATGTTCCAGAAGACGTAGGCGCTGAATATATAAGGAACGACGCATCATGGAGAGTTAGTCGAGTTTTGGTACTCGCGACGAAATACATAAATAAACGTGCAAATAAATAGACTCTAGTACAGTAGTGATATATAAATAATTAGTAGTTAAGTGTTTAGTTAGTTTTATAGTTTCTTAGTGTTTTAAGTGTAATTAAGTTATAAAAATAAATAGTTAAGTTCGTTAATAAACCAGTGCGTGTTTTAATTCACACTAGGAACAGTTAAAAACGTTACAATACTATTTGTATTAGTAGGAGAAGTGCTTTGAGCAGCATGCTTATCTTCAGTAGATGCGGAAGGTGCATGCGATTATTCCTGTTGGTATTGGGCTTGGGCGACTGCGGCTCTCGACTTTTAATCATTGGTGATTGGTGCTGGTGCTAATTTATATTTGGGTTTGGTAGGCTCTTAATTGAGTTGTCTATATAGGTAGACTGGTCATTCTTGACTATTGTCAAGGCGTGTCTCTGGTCTTTGTGCAGTTGTTCGTGGGGTGTTCTTTCGCGCACTTTAAACATTTGTGCGGGTTAAAGCAGTTTGTGGTGGCGTGCCCCCATGCCTGGCTCCTGTGGCATTGCTGGATGCGCTTGTCGTTCCTTCTTTTCTCCCAATAAATTCGCGTGTGCTCCAGATAGCGCACTGATTCGTTTAGAAAGGAGAGATTTATTTCTGGTGATGTTGTTACCATGTACAGGGGCCTGTGTGTTTTATTCAGTTTATAAATGTTAATTGTAGTTATATCGTGCTCCTCGAATAGTGCATTTTTTATTTCTTCCAACTCTAGTGTGGCGTCAAATCCTCTCATAATAAACGCATGAGTTTTGTCTTCAAATTTCGTGTAGGTATGTGTGAAATGGGGTATGTGATTCTTTAAGATTATACAGGTAGTTATTGTATTCTCGGTCGTTTTTTATGTTTAATATTATATTGTTCTTGGTATGTTGAATGGTAAAATCGGAAACTTGTTGTTTTTTAAGGTGTCGATAATTTCTTTATGTTTTTACTCCGTTTTACGGGCTAGAACTATTGGGGGAGGTTCTTTTATCTTTTATGTTTTGTTTTCGTTAATGTTTGTTTGTTCCTTATTTACTTTTTAAGTGCTGGGTTGTGGTGCTATAGCTTTGATGGTATCATCTATGTTTTTGTTTAAGATTTCGTATTTATTTGCGCTTTTACTGGTTGTTTCTTCGCATTTTTTTGTAATAGTTGGTATGGGTATAAAGTTCTTGGGTCTCGTGAATTTAAATTTTTTATTTTGTTGCAAGTCATAAGTTTCATCTTCTTTAGATGTTTTATCTTCATTTTTGTTGTGATGTTGTGTGTTAAGTATATTATTATCAATCGAAGCAATTGGCGTAACAATGGTAAATGTTGTGACCGTGTATGGCGTGCAGGCGCTGGGATTGGTTGTAATAGTAAATACAGTGGCTGCTTGGTTGTTGGGTTGTGTTGGTTTTTTCAGCGTCCAGTGCGGTGGAAGTGTTTCATTTTATAATACGATTGGTGCTTGTGTTGTTATTACCTTATTAGGATTGTTATAATGTGTGTCAAGTTTGTCGTTATCGGTTAGTTCTTGCATCTCCTGGTCTTCTGATTCGTTTTCTGCTTTGGACCCAGTTGGGGTTCGAGGGGGCTATTGTTTCTTCGTGATAGTTATGTTTCACATACAGTTGGAATTGACTGACAAAAATGTATTACAATAAATATTAATTAAAGGTAATTGCTGCCAATTTTTTATAGGCAACCCAGCAGCAATGTATTACAAAAGTTCGAAAAAATATCTGTACAAATTGTTATTATTTTTTGTAAAATGCAAAGATAATATATTATTACACCTAATTTTTTTTACTGGTTATTGCATTTCTTGTGATCAAATTAAGATTAATAATTTATTTTCAACAAAATTATTATAAAAAACAGTGTGGGTGCGTCACTTTCGTCTCGTAGCGTTTTTTCTATGTTTATTAATTACTCTCTATCTTGAAACGTTCTCGTCCTCTTAATCCTCGAATTTAAATACTCGATTCAAGTAAAGAGCATACAATATTCATTTTAACATAACAAAAATAGGTAAGACAAAATAAATGAATGAATGATTTATCAGCACTAAATTTGTATGCTGAAATCAGAACAACACCAACTTTGACTGCAAATATTTCAGGGAAGTATTAAAAAACTTGACCCGTTAAAGTATTTAGCACCTTAAATTTCCTATATCGAATTCTCCTATTTACAGCGTGGAGTTTTTTTATGTGTAAACAAATATACGGTTAGATGAAAAAAGTTTGCTATAAAATCAACAAAACTCTAATCAAATAATAAATTAGGACATAAAAAACATAAAAACAAACTAAAAATAAAAATATATATTAATAAAAAATAAAGAAAAACGATAAAAAATTAACAATGGTTAAAAGTTTATTTGAATTTTTTGTCCACAATTTTCGGACAGTGTTAGAAATATTTAATTCGGGTATTTTTTGTGACCGTTTTAATTCCAACTTTTCTTCGACGGAAAGAGTTGAAAATTTACGGGTACCTAAATATATAATTGGGTTCTCTATGTCACCCATTTTTAAACTGAGTAAAAAATACATAAATACCTATATTAAATTTTAAAGAGTGCACTCTGCAGGCTTTAAAATAAAATTAAAACAATGCAGCCAGCCACTTATTTTATAATCATAAATGACCCGTGTACCGGTAGATAACAATAAAACCAGCCATAAACTTTATGTTTATAAATAAGTGTTAAATTAATAACTACGCTGGGCTACTGCAGCAGACAAAAATAATTTTGTTTAAAGTCGGGTCTACAATTGTCGCAGGTCGCAGATCGCAGAACATAAGCTTGCACAAAGCACCGAGCTGACAAAAGAACCTTGCTCCATCGCGGCGATGGCATAGCCACGTCGCGGGGTGCTTTGCGCAAGCTTATGTTCTGCGATCGGACCCCTGCGACAATTGAAGGCCCGGCTTAATAGCGAGCTATATCGGCCGGTTATTCGTTCGATTACGCTAGATCTCGGCAATTGTTATAGGTTGATGATTTCTCGAGCGAGACAAATTTGAATTTGACTACCCTATGCTTTTTCAAGTATTTTCTTAAATAAAATAATGTTACGCAGGTTATAATATTTAATTAAATTATGTTTTAAACAAAAATTAAATTATTTTACCTGTTTATTAGAATAACTAAAGTGTAAAATAAAAAACTCAATTTTTATAATTTCATTTTCCCTAATACAGCATATACGAGTATTAATACTTAATATATATTATGTAGGTATATATTTTTTAATAATGTTTTTTGGCGGGTGGTTGATTTACTTAATGATATATTATGTGCACGTTTTGTGGCTTTTAACTTTATATTACTTAGCATTATATGGATCGAATCGATTGAATCGAACACTTTGGAAGCATACATGTGCTTGCACATATTTCCTTAAAGCTTTCAGGCTTTTGTTTCGAGGTCCAATTGTGGATAAGTTACCCATTACTGGTCAAAAAACTCAATTATATCAAAAATAATTGGTCCAAGTTACCTAATATGTACCTCGTCATAAACCTACTAGTAGTTATATCCCTTATAGTAAATCACAGGGCATAAACGTTAGTCAGACTGTTCTATTTTTTTTACCTTTTTTCGACAAACTATTTGTACAAAATTCGTATAAACATTATTATTATTATTATTTACTCATTCTAACCCTAATTGATTAACGTTTTGGTGTAGACATGTTTTGGTCGTGATCCTGGCCAGGTTTTACCAATTTACATTTAAGTGCTGTTCTTTGAGGTCTAACTACGGTATTGGTCATTTTAGTCGTTGCGGATATAATAATAATAATAATAATATAGAGGTCTCATTCACCATCCAAGTAGTGCTTGAAGGATCTACTCTCAATTATTTTTAACAAAACCG